AGCGCCAAAGGATACAAATTCTTGATCAGCCTCAAATTCTAAGTCAATTTAAGTAAATCCGTTTGTCCGTGTTTATAATGCCTGTTGTAAACATTCTCCTGGCAGAAAAATGAAGTTATCAACTTCGAATGTGGCAGAAACATTGGAAGTTCTTCCATGCAGGTTGGTATTGAAAATAGAGTAAATCGGTCGAAGCACACGCTCACAGTACCACGTAAACTCAGAATACCTTTGTTTTTCAAAGGAGTAAAAAAATGATTTTTTGCTCAGTACTCATAAAGTGTAGCAGATAAATGCAAAAAAATTGAACGCATATTCTGTGGGCGATGTTGAAGAACTTGCATAAAAATGGAAAAAATTAGCCACGCCTTCCCAATATTGTAGTCTATCAAAATTTTTTTTTTTTCAATAGTTTTATAAGGCGCAGAGAAATTCTTCAAAAACCACGTAAAGTGAATAAATTCTTGGGCAGTTTCAATTTTGAATGCCCCTAAACATGTCCGTTTATTCACTTATCCGTCTGTCTGTCTGCGCCACTTTGGAATATGTTCGGTAAATATTCTCCCGTTAGCGAAAATGAAGAATGGTCAGTTAGTTAATAAGTTTACAATACATATATCTTCAGTCTATGCATTTTAAGTAATTGGCCTTTCTTTGGGGGATGTGCACTAAGTGAACAGATAACTTCACAACCGTAAACAGTAGTACATTAAGTAAATTTTCAGCATTCAATATATATTAAAGCTAAGATTAAGCGTTTCTTTCCGTATCATAAAGCAGTCTTTGTTTTAATGCAGTGTTTTAATGTAAAGTTGATAAGTAGTTAAATTCAATTTGAACTAACCAGCGCATGTAATAAATTCTCTTTGGTATTTGTGGAGAAAGAAGGTGGTGTAAAAAGACGTGCGGTGAGGAAACATAACCTACTATCAATTTTTATGAGAAATTTAACATAAATTTGTTGACCAATTCGCTATTCCTAATAGCTGGTAAATATAACAACCATGTAGTGGGTACACATAGTGTGTAGGATTCCCGAAATAAAAATTCAATTTGTTATCGAAAAAATCTATTTGCCAATCGTTCAGTTTCTCGATAGTATCTGCAAGAATTACTGTACGTATCAATTAAACAGGTCAAAAAGTTTAACCGTTAATCAATCAAATGGTGTGCGCTGAAGATATGAAGGGAATACACAATAAAAGATTTGAAGTTGAACCCATGTGCGCTCTACTTAGGAGGGATAATAAGCGGAAACCAAATTTCCAACTTGAAATTACCGTTCAAGCTTATAAGTCAAAAAAAACGGTGATATTCAACCAATATTACACTTACCGTACTCAATGCGCAGTAAGAAACCACAAACCCTTGGCAGCCCTCGGGTGGGTTATATATAGTAATCTCTATCGCAGTTTCACCCACGCTCAACACGAACTTGACAAAATTTATTAGCTGTAACGGTGACCACGCAAAAAGTATCGCGGCTGTCTATTGCATAAACACATTAGAAGGGGCTCCATATCTAAGCTAACCTAAATAATAATCACTTCTAAGCCAAATAAACTAGAACTATTCTAAACCGATTACATAGACTTATGCTGAAAATCTATCCAAGGTGAAAACAACTCTATAATTATATTTATGATTTGCATTAAATTTTTTTTTTTTTTTGCTTCCGCTAACATAACTACTTTTTGGTGACTCTCGAACAAATACTTTTCATCACTTCATAGGTATGAAGGTGTCAATGGATTAAAATTTGTTTTCAATATGCTACTTAAAATCGTCTCTCCGGCTTTTTTAATTCTTCTTTTGTTATCGGCGTAAAATGAAATTTTCTATCATAATTGTAACATTTAAAATTTAGTAGCTCTTTGCTTTGTTAGTTGCAAGAAACAAATTTCGGAGGCGTATCTTTTGTTCTTAACGTCGTTGAACAACCGTTATGTTCGCGAACGCCTTCTCCCGATTTTCTTTTCTCCCCTAGATGGTTTGAATTTACCTGACATTTCCTGACGCGCATATAACGAAACTGCTGATACCCTGACCTTGAAGATGGTAAGCTTCGATAAATTTTTGGGTGCTTTATAAGTTGAACAATATGGCCAATTATTGTCATGGCTGGTTAGGGTATTTATCACTACGGATACCTATCACCTTACCCTGCTTCCCTTAAATGTTACTTTTGCAAACGTTGCGCATGGGCATGGTTCTGATAAAGGTATTTAGAAAAACTAATTATAACTTTGTTATGTTATATTGAGTGGAACTTGGAGAGATGTGGTGCTTTTGACCATTAATCCACCCATGATTTGATAGTAATTGTTTAATCTTTTCAGCCACTTATTTCATTAAATACGTAATGTACTTTTCATTTAATATCCTTTATCGTCTATTACAATTCCTTCGTATTCTTCACTCACTGTTAGGAATGATGCAGTTCAAATATTGGAACATGCATGGGTCAAAGGCCATTTTATTTTTTCAGTGATAATCACCATGGATTTCGCTTGCAGTGAACGTAGAACAAGAGGAAACATGTATTTCTATATATCCGCTCGTGCCCAGAAGTATCGGCTGCAGTGAAGTAACTTTTACAAACTTTTAAAAAATTTAAGGAAACGAATTATTTCTGTCCAACATTGAGATTTGGTAGCGCTAAAAATTACCTTATTTGCACGATCCTTCGAAGTCTTGAATAAGCGCGTCTCTCATCATGCAGAATCTATTTTGTAGTTGGGCGCGGCGTGGTTCCTCGTAAAAAGAGAACGAGCGACACAATGTACTGTCGTCTGCAAACATGGGAAGGGAACTTTCGAAAAATGGACATTAGCATTCGTGTAGGATTTTTTAAGTAATCAGCAAGAAAGTTGGCTATCTCTGTACACTTACAGGAGGACAGAATGTGTGCAAAATCATTTGTTTCTTTCGGACTCAACAAAATTTAAAAAGGTGTTGTTTGTCTTTCAGACAGTGAACGTAACTGCGTACGCCGAATATGTGGGACAGATTCTCCCCAAGGCGTCCTTCCCAAATTTCCTAAAAAATATATCCCTTTTATTGCATAACAAGCTCAAGCCAAAAATATACCAATTTTGACAGTCAGATGACACTTTAACCACATTCGCAAGTACAAACTCAGATATAACACTCGAAAGAATATGATAAAAGATCCAGAATAAGATTAATAAAACATATGTGAGTAACCGATTGCTCCTCTGAGATGGCCTGAGCGAGTATTAAAGAACGATTCGATCGGTCTCAAAAAATAGCGAACTCGTGTCTAGAAACGGTCAGGAATCTACAATCAGTGCAAAATGAACACGCGGTGGGTTTAAGGAATTAAGCAGATGAAGAGAATCAGGTTATGATTGTATGGTCTGTGTTGCTGTCAGCAGACAATAGAACATCAATTAAGAGGTGAATTAAATGTATAGAAAAAGATAGTAATCTAACAATAACCGACCTTGTCAAACTCTTCCGCCAATGATGTGAAGACATTAAGTTGCATAAATCGCTTTCAACGAGACTTTTCAAATATGTTGAAGTCACATTGCAATTAATTCTGCGTAGGGTTAATGCTTTCGGTAAAATAAGTTACTCAAATGTTGTCGATTTCTGGCCATAGTAGTAGAATGGAACTAAACTAAACTCTCTTTTCTTCAATTGCCTTAAAGTTGTCCCAATACGGATGTAAGTTCGTCTGTGACCGTATAAGAGCCAAGCAGTCATTCACCATTCATCATTCACTATTTCACATGGGTATAATCTAAAATTTGTGTTCAAGTTTTCTAATCCCTACTTGCTTCAAAAATTTGGAATTTATCGCTCCGAGAAGCATACCATCCGTGAAAGCTGAAACTGCGCCGAGTTGCTGCAGATTCGAACTCCAATTTTGATTTTACCGTAACCACATTAATGTTCATGTTTATGTTTTAAAGTAAGTACCAACACACAGTACTGTATATACCACCTCCGCTGTTGATAAACTTTAATTGGCGAGTTTGTTACTGGAATACTGCATTTCTCATCACTTCTTCTTCATGTTTAATATATAGGGAATATGTTAACATTGGATACGAAATTCAACGATACTGGTAAGACTTTAGCAGCTTCGTCTATATTTGGGTGAACTATTAATTAAATTGATCCATGAAACCACAAGGATTATTTTTATCAGTGGTTACAATTTTGAAGTTGTTCATTATCTAAGTACATTGTTGACATTATAACAACCATTTTCAGAACATTTCAACATCGTATAGAAAATCGGCATGGGGTTTTAAAATAAAAACGTCGTATCTGGATATGCTGCCATGTACATGAATCTAGCTCTTTTCTTTAGCGGTAATATCAAAATGTCCTGAGAAACCTATATCACTTCGTTGCACTATTGACTCGTTTCATGAATAAATGTATTGCTACCAATGGATACAATCAGTCTCAAAAGCTTCGTAGTCAACCGAATATCAGAAATCCTAGGCCGAATCATTTGGAAGCATTTAGAACTAAAGCCAACTTTGTCTTCAGAGGAATCATGCCCGAGTACTTGGTAAGCTGTAGAAAAGTCGTCTTTCAGTAGCAACCGATACTGGTAAATACAAAAGCAGGACCTCAGTTTATTTCTTAGAAAAACTTGACGAGCAAGATACAATGGGCTTGTCAACTATAGTTTTGGGACTAATAAAATCGGTTAGTGAAAATGAGCTAAGCCCGCTATTAGGAGGTTCCAAATTGTCGGAAACTGTGCTGCGGGACAGTGCAGGTTCATATGTTCTGGAAACATATAGAAGCTACAACCGTCGCCATCCTAACTTCTGTTAGAAGAATTAAAACAAGTAAAGCTAATTTGCATTATTTTGTTCAGGAGTGCATTTACCAAAGAATTTGGGATTTGTAGTTCCGTAAAACTTTCAAAACCATTAAAGTTTCGCCTCTTTTTGCCCCCCATTAAATCCAAAAATACTAAACATCATTTCGAATTTTTTGTTATTATACAGTACATCAGTATTGGAACATTGCTGCAAGAAAGTTGTTCGACTCATAGATGTTACGGTAAGCGCAATATAACACCCATCAAAAAATACTAGATCTACTTTCAGATCGAGTTCGTACAGCACACACATTCCAAAATACCAACTACGCTTATGCCAGTCCACTAACCTTAAAATTATAGTATGGTCGTCAAAATAATAAATTTACAGATGGTCAGTGACACACAGAGAGTTGACATCAGAATAAAAAATTGAGACATTTACAGCGGGCCTCTGCCCCTTTACTTCGCGTTGCAAACCTTCCGCAGTGTTGTTGGCCTGGAAAAATTGTAAGATCCATCAAAAACGTTGGAACGCTACTTCAAAGAGTGCCGGCTCGTTGACGTTTTATTAATTGAAGTACTTTCGATACACAACCTTCTCCTTTCTTATCAGTTATTATTATTATTAATTTAGCCAGAAAATAAATTCTAAGACTAAAGTCTTAAAGCACTATCATATCTAAGTCTATTGGTTTTATTGGAAACTCTACCGCACTTGAGATGTGCGCACTGCTATTCAGTTGTTAGCCGAGAGTCTTTGCCTACTCGGCCACTGAGGCGGATTCATCAGTTATTAACTTCAGTTGTATACCTTGTGTTCTCTTTTTATTACGTGCACAAGAACGATTAAAAAAAGTATTCGTTTTCAAAAATTAAGTTGTGTCTTTCTTATCTAAGTCAGATATCTAATAATGTCAATTTTGTCGAACCCTACTCTAAGGTTCAGCAAAAGCGTTGTTAATTAAAAACTTTCATTAATTCGGTCCACGGCTTTTAAGGGTGTAAAAATTCTGAAACAATTCGACATATTTTACAATATTATTTCAATCAAGGCGATAAGGCTTCGCCGTTATTTTGAAAGCTCGTGGTGCTTATTCTTAAGAGGTTTTATTTTAAGCAAGCAGATAATTTGGTCACTCTCGTTCAAAAATTTCCATATTAGAAATGTGTCATACTCTGGCGGACTATCACAAATGGCGTAAGGAATCACTCAATGCTAAGCCAGACGCATCTCTGAAGAGTCGGAATAAAATGAGAGACCCGGAAAATTCTGATGCATGTTCGGAATTCCTCAGTTGTCGGTCCGTCCGTTTACCATTTGTTTGGCTCTCTGCGGCAGTGTTAAGCTAACCTCAAAGGATGGCAGGGGAAGTCGCTTAACTCAGGTTTCCGGCCAGAAAAACCTAGGAACTTTATGGCGATGATTTTCCTTCCTTTTAAACAAGCAAACAACATTCGCGGAATCATGATTTAACGTTGCGTAACTAGATATGTCGAAAAGAGAAAAATCGGTAAGAATGCAATAATACTATATGACTATCCTGCAGACCTTGGTCACGCAAACGACCTAGGATCACTTTTCCGTCTTCTCTTCTCAAAATACTCCAAAAAAGGTTTCTCTTGTCTCCGTAGACAAATTTAAAAGAAAATGTCAGTAAGTTCTACAAACTCTAGTATTGCAAAAAGAACAACACTAACATACGTCGGCCAAACCAATCAAGGAAGTATATATTTAATACATATGTATATATATATATATATACCTACATATAAATAAAATAATAGAACACTATAAAAAAAAACTAAATTAAATAGAGCAACAGAGGGTTATTTTATTTAACCTTATCTTGCAATCAAAACTATGCACACACTCAAACAAGGCTAATCTCTTCTTCATTTACATTGTATGTAATATAAGCAAGGAAAAACAAGAAGAATGGAAGGTGAAATTGCCGAGAACAATTTTTAGAATAAGATATTAATGTTTGGACAATTAAAATAAGATATATCCTTCAAAGAGTCGAACACAAATTGAAGAGATTTTCATCCGTCAAAATAAAGCTTACTTTTATTAAAAGCTTACCTTTGTTGAAAGCTTACTTTTATTGAAAGCTTACTTTTATTAAAATCTCATTAGAACTTACCAAAAAATTGGCTTTTGTAGCTTTGCTCAGATCATAAATGATATATGCATTGAAAATGCAGAAACGGAATATTGCACATTAGAAATAAATCTCATTACTGTAAATAGAGTAGATAAAATACATACCATGATATGAACCAAACTACAAATGTATTGCAAAACATCATGCACTAATTCCAGAATAACGTTAAAAAATATTAAAACCACTCATATCTATCATCAAAATATTACTAATGAAAGCGTCGGCCAGTTTTAATGACCGTTCGCTTAAATTTCTTGGAATTCCTGCTAAATATGTAGCACAGGAAGATAAACTTGAACTACTTGAGCTTGCTCAACACCTTAACCATAAAGAAATTGTGAAGACGGAATTGATTCATATAACAATTTCTATTAAAGATCTAAACGAATCCAACCGGCTTGCGGGTCAATCAAATAAATAATCACAATCATTGAAAAATATTGGAAAGCGCTTAAGTATATAATTGAGAGCTAAATAAGGTGCAAAAAATAGTAAAGCCATTATATTTTCTTTCGTAAAATTTGCGGTGGCAATCACTGTCTTCTGTAAAACTAAAGCGTATTTATACAATTTACATCGCATATTTTTCAGTAGAGAATTGTGAGGGAATCTTTTAGCCGCTCCGGTTGAATTTCTCAATTGATATTGTGATTCAAATGTAATAAAGTTTAACGACAATTTTATTCGTTTAAGATGTATAAGTTTGGACATGACAATCTAAGAAAAACTATTGTGTTATATTATGCATTGTTTAAATAACACGAAATTATAAGCGCTGCAAGAAGGCGACAAATTGTTTTTCGAAATTAAATTTATTGGCAATATTAAAAAAATTAAGACTTAATATAAAATAAAGCTAGTAAAAAGATTATATTCGGCTGTAAACGAATCTCTTGTACTCATCACGATTATGCTAAAAAATACTTTAAAAAAAAGAAAAACCAAATTTCCATACTCTATAATGTTGTGCGAGCGTGATTGATTTTTTCTCAAAATACTTTAAAAAAAAGAAAAACCAAATTTCCATACTCTATAATGTTGTGCGAGCGTGATTGATTTTTTCTCAACGTGGAAATTTATATCGTGTGTCCGTTGCAGTTTGCGGAAAAACAAACTCAGAAAGCCGGAATATATTCAATTGGCAAAAGGACTCGCTTCTATATTATACGATTTCTCCCATTTTCAATATCAACCTACGTACAACGACCTGCACCAAATTTGAAGTAGGTGTCTTAAATTCTGCGATCATGAGTACGTTTACCACAGCAATCAACAGATAAATAGACATACGAACTAACAAACATTAATAGAACGATTCAGATTTGGTGCTAACTAAGAACATGCATACTTTATGCCTTCTCTGAAGCTTTTTGCGGTGTAATGCAAATGTTTTGACGAAAGAATGAAATTTTAACATTTCATAACATTCAGTAGGTGAGGCCGCTTTTTTTTCATTTTTGTACAGGTACTGTAAGACCACCCATAGAAACAAATGGAAATTTTTATTGTTATATGTGTTGTGATTTATAAGTATTGAAAAGAAAGCTATATTTTTTTATTTTTGAGAACAGAGGGTCGTCTCAGGATAGTACTGTACTACGTCTTCGTCCTATGACCGATTTGGCCCGATTTCGATATCAATTTGTACATTAGAACTTCCAGTTATTCTGTGAAGTTCTAGATAGCTTTCCTTTTGCGACCAGGAGAATGTGTTTACTATAGACATTAGATCTACAGACACACAGACAAAATGAATACACCACACTGTGAAACCCAACCACCTTTTTATATTACAGCTTTACTTTCTTAAGCTTATTTTGGTTGGTCTTTACTTTTTGTGCCGGCTTTCTTCATCACATCATGACATATAATTTTTGCAATCCCAGATGTAACTTTCTAACATATTTTATTGTCAGTGTCAATAATTTACGAAGCCAAATATAGATAAATATATATATATAATTTACCGGATAAAGTATAGATATATTAGACTAATGAAATATAATAAAATTCTTTGAAACACTCATCAGAAAACATAAAAAGCATCAACATTCTCCTTGGTCTTCACTTTGATTTTCTAAACCGTTCTATATTCCTTCCTGGTTAGCATGCGTCTGTTGAAATCACGATTTCGTGGTTCCCATGTTGAAACTTTCTCGGAAAAAAATTTGAATTCTGCGCACTACCAATTTTTTCATTGCCTGAGAATAGTTTAAAAGAAATTAATAATTTTGCTCCTTTAGTTTTGTTTTCAATTGTTTTATAAATAAAAACCATTGAACTCAGTCTCAGTTATTACAAAGCCGTTCGTAAATAAATCAAAAAAAACATCGGCATATGGTGCTTATTTCTTAAAATTACTTAGCACACTAAAATAAGAAAATATTTAATACATCTTGAGATATCCTAAATGTATATCATGCATGTTGACGGGTTGTGCTGAATCAAACAGCCTAGATGTGCTTGTTTAAATAAGTTAACTTCTGATAAGCTAACAGTTCAAGCTGAGCAAACAAAATTTGAAGTTACATCAAAAACTTCAACTTCGCAGTCCGAGTAATGCACCAAAAAATGCCAGATCAGCAGGTGCAATGAATTATCAAGAATAATATCAAGCCATCGCAGAAATAAAAGAAATATAATATCATTTGTAAATTAGAATACGTTTTAAATTTTACTTGTTTTTTTAACTTAATAAAGTACGGTCACACTGACTAAGAAAATAAAAAATATTTTTTTTAACAAACCTACGTAAAGGATGGTTTATATTGCGAAATGGAAGATTTCTAGGAATTTCGATCCAACTTATATACTTTTTCTTTTCTATTAATACTCTAATTTTATTTATTAATTATGAATTTAAAAATATGTTAATATCTCCACTGGTCATATTAATATCTTTAGACGTCATATCATATGTTGAAACGCATCAATGCACAAGATGTATACATTGCTGGAATGTATATTTTTTTTTACCGAACTTACCTTCAATTGCCTCGTCATTGTCGGCAAAACTATCATCAGCAACTAAGAGCTCCGATTGTACTTGTTGCTGCTGGCAAATTGCTCGGTCAAAGCATGGCGAGGACTCTTCGTTAAGTTTGAACATCTCGCCTACACTGAGCTTTTCAAGCTGTTCGCTGCGCCTTTGCAAACAAGCAAACTGTTCCACTTGTAGGTGACGTAAACTTTTTACGTGCTGCAACATTTCCAGCAAAGATAAAGCGCTAAAATTGCACACTTGACAACACAATATATTTTGCGTAGCGGGAGCGTCAGGTAGACTGCCTGCCGCCGCTGTTGTCGTTATTGCCGATGTCGATTTTAATGATGGCGAAGAGGATTTGTATGATTCATTCTCTTTGCTGTTGCTTTTGCTATACATACGTTGCTCCTGTTGTTTCTTTTCCTGCTGTTGCCGGTGCTTTTGTTGCTCATAAATTAAAGAATTCAGGTGCTTAAATATCAAGAGCATTGCATCGTGACGCATGTGTTGCGTGTGCAAAGACAACTTCTGAATAGAGTTTGTATAAAAATCGCAGCAGTTGCACTTGATTTGCACACTATTGCTGCCAATTTGTTGTTGTTGTTTTTGATAAAATTTTAGCTTGTGCTCGTTGCGCTTTCCACCCTCGCGCACATGGTTGATAAAACTTAGCTTTTGAAGATGTTTGTCTGTTTTGCTGTGCAATTGAAAATTTGCTTTGAGATTAGTTTTGTAGTTGCATAAGCGGCAGATGTAGTTGTTATTCTGTATCACCATGATGTCAGAAAACAGAGCAGTGCTGGCAGAAGAAACATTGACAGAAGCAGTTGTAATCGCTGGAGAACCGCCGCTACTATTGATATTCGGAACCTCAGTAAGGGATGAAGTTGCGTAAGGATCAGTAGCACTCGTAATTACATTCGGGGTCAGCCCACTGATAACCGGCTGCCGAGAACGGTCGACGAGCAAATGCTGATTTAATTCGTCGAGGTTGTTAGTGTTAAAATTTGAGCAAACTAGACAGCTGTAAAGCATTGTAGGCCAGGGATCTGGAATATAAGGTGGTGATTCCATTGTCATGCTACCATCACTGCTCCCCAAGTCACTACATGGTGGTTTCGTGGAGAAAGGTGACTGTTGCAATTCGTTTATAATTGGGGAGATCTCTTGTGGTTTGCTCAAGGTTGCGTTATGATTATTACCTACAATTTGGAGAAAGCCTTTCGAACTAGTTGGTAACGCGGGGGATGGCATCAAACTACTTTGACATTGAGAAGCAGCTATAGCTGCATTTTGGTGCAAAAATTGTATCATTAGCGCTTGATTGTAGGCCAAATCGGCCAAAGCTACTTCTGGTATAAAACAACTGTTTTGTTGTTGTTGTTGTTGTTGTTGTTGTTGTTGTTGCAAGAAGGTGAACGCATGTATATGTTTAATGTTGTTTTGTAAAACCGTCAAATTATGCATATGTTTCTCGCTTGTCATGTGTATGCGTAAATTGCGTGCTACCGACGTTTCATAACTGCAAATATCACATCGAAAGGAAGGTTTAGTCTTATGAAGGCCACCAGAATTGCTGTTCACGTTTCCAACATTACTGTTCAATGGATTTCCCCCTGGGGTAAGAGCGTTGTTATTGGTGCTGCCACTGATGGTATTGCTGGCAGTGAAAGTTGCGGTGTTACTGCATTTACTGTTATTGATGCTGATCGATGGTTGTTGGTGCTGCTGATGTGAACTCGTACTCGTTGTCAAATTCAGTTTAGATGTTGCCTCCAAATTACCACCAACAGTTGCCACCCCACCCGCCGCTACGACGGCCGCTGCAACCATATTCTGTGAGCTATTAATCTCTTGCATGTTGTTCAAATGCTTGTCTGATTGCATGTGGATAGAAAGGTTACCTTTGGTAGTTGTAGAATAGTTGCATATTTCACATCGATATGGTTTGTAACCGCAGGAGTAAGACTCACCGCGGGCTAAGCGGGGGTGTTGCTGCCCTATAGCAAAAGAAATGATGATGATAATCATTATTATTATTATTATTATTATTATTTTTATTATTACATTATGCTATATTATGTTATACTACATTTTATTATTATTTACATAACTAATTTCTATATTAATTGCAGTATATTATCTTTTATAAACCAAAGCCAGTAGGTTAGTCACCCTTACATTTTTTTTAACATGATGGTATATGCGCACTTATTGATGTGAAGTATTCTGGTCATTTTTAGAACCAAATTGATCACTTCATATAATACTTTTTTTTTTAAATTTTTATTTATATTTTGGCTTTAATGGCTGTTAAGGTTTGAGAGGGTAGCCCTACCTTATTAAGGATACTCCTAAAGAAAGAAGAGAAAAATTTTAGTTCTTTTTTCTGTTTAGTGCAGCGCAGTTGTAAAGATTTGCTATTCAGTATGATGGTGTTGAGTAATTGGTCGCAAAGAGAAAATTATGTTGAACAAAGATATGTATAAGACATATTAAAGAAAAATCACACCGGTTGTTTTTTATAATGAAGTATATTAGAATATATTAGAATCTTAATTTATTATGTGCTAAAGCATTATGATGCCAAAGACATCGTCAATAATCGTAAAATCAACTGAAGTTTATAAATGCAGAATCTAAGAGCGAGAAGGTCAACAGCTATAAAGACTTATAAACGTAAACGTTAAAAACGATTCTTTGAACGCAAAAAATGATTCTTTGAAAAATCTTGTTTAGAAATCCCAAGAATATAATACTTTGATAGCTGTTGATGTCCTTTGGTGGTTTGCTTGCCTTTGAAATAGGAAATATTTTGAAGTTTTGAAATTTTCGAAGTAGCCCGTCGCTAGCGATTTTCTGGGGCGCGTTTCACGCACTCAACATTTGACGACGTCATCACTTGTGAACTGATCCTTCGGAACATCAATTGATAGTGAGCTCAATACCGCAGAACGAATCATATGCTCTCTAGCAAGCGAGCTTAAATTAAAAGAAATCTTTACGACTTTCTAGAATGTTTTTATTTGTAGATAAAGAAAGTTTACCACGAAAAGGCCTTTTTAATAACGAATGCGCAAATTTAATTGCTTCATTCCATAAGAATGTTTTAGGCTGCTGACTTGTTCTTGATAACCACCTCATTGTCTTCGATACTAACTTCTAAATTTAATTAGGTTCAGTATGTGATCAAATTAATTTTAGGGTACCTTCGCGTTGGCAACCTTCCCAATTAGATTTGGTTATTGAAATTTATATAAGGATTATATAGAGGAAATAAGCTTAGGTATAAAAATTGGACTGGTATAAATTTAGAGAAAAGGACACAGTATCTAGTATTCAACATTTGAATATCAATATTTAATAACTAAACGTTTTTCAGCACGAGATTTCACCCTTTAAGGTCATTAGTAACATTAACAGCTAATTGAGTGGTGTTATGTTCTTTGAACATCGGTATCAATATTGCTCTTATGTACTGTAACCTCCTTCACGTTATGCCATCTTAAAAACCTGTTTATAATCAAAGGAAATTTTATTCAATCATGATAGGTGAAACCTTATTATAATTGTGATAGGTTGAAGATGAAGTGGAGATATTAAATTTAAATCGAATAACATTGGATAATGATCAGACACTTTGAGTGGTTAGTGTGATCTTAGATATTAACAAGAATTTCATGAACTAAGAAAATAGATACGCACTCTTGAATAGCGAATTGTAAATAGGAATGAAGAAGTGAGATCAGAGAGTATGTAGTTCCGTGAAATACCTCTCGGGCAACCCCAAATAATCAATTTCCCGACGAAAACTTTCTCATATATTGTGCTGTGAAATTAGCTTTATCTGAGTAGCAACTGATTCAAGATTTAGGACAGCTACTGTAACCCTTCAGCACGGTCTATGCCGACTACAGTTCCAAGGTTATTAATTAGTATATATATAAATATATACTAAAAAACTTAAGAATATTTTAAATTTTTTGTTGACCACTCGGTCGGTTTTCGTTCAGAAGTGTGATCGAAATCACTTTCTTAAGTTTTCTTAAAATTGCATGAAAAAGTTTATACAAGAAATTATTTTCGTGTAAAATTTTAGAAGGAAATATAAAAGAAAGAATAAAGAAACGAATCATAGTGCAGTTTACCGAAACAACACAAAAGAACAAAAGAGTAGTTAAAATAAATCGAGGGTTGTGACGAAACTAAGTCAATCATGCTTTGTTTTACTGTCAACAATAATTTTTTTTTTTTTTGATTTTATGGTAGCTCATAGGGAGAATTAACTATCATTTATTATCACTTCTGTATTTGTTCGGGCATATACATGACCAATGATTTCTTCAGCTGATGCAAGATTCCAAAAATTAGGACACTCTGCAAAGTATCAAATATCAGCGCACTTATATATCCCGAAAGGAATGATGCTAAGAAAGACAAATTTTTTCCTCTTACCTAATTTACTTAGAGAAATATGTAATCACCTATCTATACATAAAATGATATTTGCATTACAATTTGTCTCAAACATTGTTTTGTTAATATCAGTGGTCTACATATTACTATGGTATTTTCATTGTTATTATTCTGACATTTCCAAACTATTCTTATCGTATTTTAATAATGCTTTTATTACTGTTGGTATTACTATTATGTTTATATACCAAATAATGATAATCAAAAAAGTAATATCATTTGTAATAAACTCCATTATTATTAATCTTATTATCATTATTGATATTAGAATTATCATAATTTTTTATTTTATAATATTAATATCTCACTTTTCCCCATTCGTTTACATAGGCATGAATTCCTTCTACTAAAACAACTTAATTAAAATACCCATTTTGGGTTACGTGCCTAAGTTTATTCTACATTCCTCGGTTGTTCCCGTAAACTAATGTTTTATGTGGTGAACAGTGCTAGCGTTGCTGATATAAAAGCCACAGTTTGTGCAATGAAGGTTTATTTGATTCTCTCTTCAATTTGGTACCGGACTACGAAGCGGTAAGAAATTATCTGAACTTTTATTTTTAGAGCTAGGTGTTTATTTTGATAGGTCCCTTTATTAGTTTAGCGAATTGGTGCGAATTCACTGTTGCTGTTCAATAGTAAACAAGTATAGAATTGTAAGCTGATGGGCTGTGAATAGACAACATCGTTGACCGGGTTAACCAAATACTTGTCATGCGCAAACCACTTAGTAAATTGTGATAAAAAGCCAATTGGGATAGCCGGCGGAAATTTTGCCATAAAACAGGTTAGGAGAAGCAAAAAAATTAGAAAGGGAGCGCGTAAGGTTGTGAGAAAGCTAAGTGGGTTAATCGAAGGCAAGCAAACTCATTTAACTGAAAACTCTACCTACCAATAGGGTCTGAGAGCACAAGTAGGGCGAATTGGTTGGGAAAACAAGGGCATTCGTTGAAATTGGCAGTTACTAAAATAGGACCCAGCACATAAATGTAGTGTGTCAAATGATGGCAGATTTTGTGAGACGGCAGAGACAACAGAAACATTGCTCGTACGAAATGCAGAAGAAACCAGACGCAATTCGAACTGCGTCCCTACCGCAACAGATCGACAGAGTGGATTTAGTGTAAAAAAATTGCCGAAGCAATTCCTGAATCTAACCAAACCAACTGCGGGAGAGCTTATGATTGGGACGATAGGTGCTCCATGCTTGAGGTGTATAATCGTATTGATGAAGCAATACATTTTCGGTTAGATGCTTCACCCACATCCATATCAAATAGGAAGAGCTTCACAACTGAGTTAATGAAAAAATTTCCAACGGTAAAAGACGAAGCCGATATCCATTTCAAAATGTCTGGCAGCATACGTAAGCACTATGCGTGTATAAAATATTACTGCTTTAGAATGTCAGGTTTAGGTAAACGATTTGGTTCACATGAGTCTTCATTCTCATATATAGACGCGAAAGCTTTAATAATTATGAATAGAAAACGCAAGATCAGTACAAGGTGTTAACACTGGCTAGGAGTGAAATTGTAAACGAATATGAGAGATATGAAAGAGATAACCAATGATCTCAGCAAACGAGAACTGCACACAATAACAACGTACAAGCAAATACGAATATACTTACGAGCAATAAAATGAAGAGGAATAATGTAAATACGCAACCAAATGAACGAAAAACGAGCATTGCAAACCTAAGAGGAAAATAATGTCGGATATGATAAGGGAGTTTCTCGATAAGAAAATTATTTTTCCGTTAGGGTCGGAATATGCGAACCTTATCGCGTTACAATAGAAGAAAAATGGTTCCGATCGAATTTGCCTTGATTATCGGAAATTAAATAATTTAATAGAAAACTTCCCCATTCCAAATATTGAAGAACGTTTACAACAAGTAATGAGTTGCACATATTTTATTTATTATATCAAGTTAAGATGGCGTCCGAAGGTCGAAATTATACAACTTTTATTACTAACGACGGGTTATACGAATTTAATCGAATGACGTTTGGGATTAAAAACGCAGCAATTGCATTTCAACGCTTAGCGGCTAAGATTCAAGAAACTAGGTGAAAAATATTACACAATACAAATCACTTTTTTGTAGTTAGCAGTACGATCGATGAAATGTTAATTAAATTGGAATTAGTTCTCAAAACTAAGTAAACTAGTTTAACATTAAATCTCACCATATGTGAGTTTCTCAAAACCAGGATTGAATTTCTGGACCATCAGTTGACTTAACAAGGTATTATTAAAAAAGAGGCGATAGAAAAAGTACCAGCGTCCAACATGTAAAGTTGAATTACACAGACTCCTAGATCTATTTGCATTTGATTTTCGATTTTATCCGAACCGTTGCGTAAGTAAGAAAGGGACAGAATTTGTGTTGTTAAATGAGCTTTTATTGATTTAATAACTAAACTTTCATCCTTTCGTGTAATGGTTGCATATCGAATAAGCGTCGAACATGAAGTTCATGTGGATGTAAGTACCATTCGGTTATTTCTCTTTCAAA